TGTAGATCTTGTCTTTTTTTTTTGAAATTTTAAAGTTTTTTCTTTATCTTTTATAGTTTTCAAGATAATTGGCAAAAATGGTCAAAATAAAATGTTAAAATATTCGTCATTTAAGGGCAATAACTACTGTAAGAAGTCGTCTTACTGTTTTAATTTAAATAGATAATAGGCAGATCTCAACATTCTCAAATCTTTTGCTCCTGTAAGATTTTCACTATTTATAGCGGTTTTCTAATAATAGACAAAGCTTGCGTTTTACCCCTATATTCTATTTTCATCCATGTCGGCAATGTTGGTTGTTAGGCGGGGTCATCGGTCATATTTTTGTTTCGCCTGCGACATAATTCGCAGAATGCGAGACAAAGGTATTACAATCCAGCTGCGGCGGCGGAGTTGATGGTGTAAACTATTTGTTTTAAGCTTTTATATTTCAGACGGTAGAAGACCTGGATGTTTCATACCATGCATACAGCTACCTTATATTGCGAAGTTTTCGTCTGTCATACGTCCATTGTCCTTGACCTCATTTTCATGGTTCAATGACTGCTTGAAAAAAAACCAGTTTTTTTTGTAAAGTGAAACACTCTTTTATTACGAGTAATAGGATAGATATATTTGATATATGGGTTCCTTGCAGCCTAAATGTCCGTCAAGTAGGGTTCACCTGATCTCGAAACTAATGCCATGGATCAGTGATCAAGGTTAAAGTTACGTGGTCAACTCCGTTTCTCAAATACTATAAGCATTAGGTCAACTAAAGTAGGTGAATGGATTGATTTTAAGGTGTACATGTTCGACTGGCAGGTTTCATCTGACCTTGAACCCAATCTCATGCTTCATTGGACAATGTTTAGTTTTTGCGGTTGGTCTTTTTGTCAGATACTATAAGCAATAGGGCCACTATATATGGTACATTGAATGGTTGCAAGGTGTACATGTCTGTCTTGCAGGTTTCATCTAACCTTGACCCCATTTTCATGGTTCATTGGACAAAGATTAGTTTTTTGTGGTTGGGTCTATTATCAGATACTATAAGCAATATGTCAACTATATTTGGCGTGTGTAATGATTGTAAGGTGTACATGTTTGTCTGGCACGGTTCATATGATCTTGATATATCATTTTCATGTTTCTTTGGTCAATATTAATATTTTGTGGTTTAATCTGTTTTTCATGTACAACTAGCAATAGGACCACTATATTTGATTAGTGGAATGATTGCAAGGTGTACATGTCCATAGGCGGATCCAGGGGGGCCTGGGGGCCCTGGCCCCCCTTTCGTGGCAAAAAATTTGGTTGATTATATAGGGAATCACTGAAGCGTAACTGGAGCGGCCCCATTTTAAGTCAGTCAGCGGGCCCCATCTTACAAAAAGTTCTGGATCCGCCACTGATGTCTGTCTGGCATGGTTCATCGGACTGTGACCTCATTTTCATAGAACATTGATAATTTTAAGTTTATGTGATACTTGTAGTAAAACCTTCATATAACAGACTTTCAACATGAATTCAATGATAAGTAAGACGTCGACAGGAGTGTGCACTCTTGTTTAAACTAAATATCCCAATAATGATTGTGGAAAAGTTTGATTACATTTTACCCAGTAGTTTCAGAGAAGATTTTGTAAAACGTAACGGACGATGACGACAGGCGACAGACGCCAAGTGAGCAAAGCTTTGGGCCATGTGAGATAAAACGATGACAGAAAGCAACCAACGACAACCACTGAATAACAACTTACTGACTAGGGATCGACACATTACGAAATTGACGGAGTTAAGCATGTTGTGAGCGCTCAACCCCCACTCGTGGTGTAACACCATAACATAAGAACCAACTATAAAAAAAACTTTAAAAAGGCACGATTCATCAGATGGGCACTCAGTAAACAGAATACACCTAACAAAAATAAGAAAAATCAAGGTGTCGATCTAAGAGTCCTAGCAGCAGTTACTGAAAGCTATTTCAAAGCTAATTCCAACTAGGTCTTGTATAATTCATCACTATAATATCTAGTAAGTCACTTGTCCCTGTTCTATTGACTGTTTTAAAAAGGTACCAATCATATTTACCTGAATGTATGATCTAAGTACTTATTCTGTGATGTACCTGCTCAGTGAAGTTACCACTTTCTGTTGACCATGGTTCCACTCCATAAAGTTATGGCAGTATGTCTCGCCATTCATGATATACAACAGTGAAGTTACCACTTTCTGTTGACAACTATTCCGCTCAAAAATGCTATGACAGTATGTCTAGCCATACACCACATAAATTTGACCAAAAAAATCTGAATACAGTTGAACTCGATTGAAATATAGTTTACTTTTATTAAAGTGTCACCAATTATGGACATAAATTTTTTAATATACTTTATTAAGCACAAATTACACGTATAAGAGGGTCAAAGGCATAACAATTACATGTATGAACAACAATATTAAGATGACATTTACATTCACACCAAAATAAAACAAAATATTAAACACACAACACAACAAATGACCTCAAGTGCCCCCTGTCCTAAGTTCCATAGACTGTTTAATAAAGGAGCCTAAAGATTTCACTTGCTGACTAGTAGTTGGATTTAGAATATATTTCATTTGTTATCAGAAAAATCTTTGTATTGGGTTTTTAAATCGTTAAAAAAGACATGTCTTAAATCATTATTTATTTTACATAATAAAATGAAATGGGATTCATCATCCAGAACTTTGCACTTATTGCAAAGTCTTTGAGGGCGTGGAATATTTTATTTTTTCCAGTTTCAATAGGGAGGGAACGATCACTAATTCTAAATTTGCATATAAGTTTTCTTGTATCAAGATTAGGGTATGTCAAATAAAATTCTGGTTTATATTCAGTTTTTATATGCTTAAACAAAAGAGGTTTACTACTTTGGTCAAGAGATGATATCTTATTGTCATATATTTCTTTATATCTTTACTGAAGTCATTTTTATAGTATTTTTTACTAAGATTCTTGCAGGCTATTTGTTTTTAGTTTCATCTTTGGGTTTGCTAATATTATTGTCGGACCTAATATGATTTACATATGAGTACCATGAGTATAAACCTTGATCATAAAGTGACTTTGAGAGAGAGTAACACTCTTTAAGTAAATCAGATGAGTTTTCACTCAAAAGTCGGTCTTCATACAAAAGTGATTGCGTGCATGGCAATGAAACAATAAAGGGGGAATCTTCCTTATTCAGATCTAGAGGCAATGTTACTGGCATATTTCTTTATCCCAAGTGTAAATTTACACAACTTATTAATGAAATAGACAAGTATAAATAATAACTGTACATTAAGAGATGCATATGCAAGTAGCAGAATTGTTTTACCTTTATTACCCAATCCCTAGACAAGGTCAAGATTTGACTATTTCATTGCATTTATCTTTAAAAAATATTGACCAAAGGCATACATGTACATTTTTGTACCTGAAAAATGCCCATATAACACAAAACATATTTGGGGTGGGGTGTGGGGGTGGGGTATTGTTTTGATTTTATTAAAGTTATCTAAACAAAGACATGATTATTGGCTAATATATAGCTAATAGATAAAGTGTTTTAATTCTACTATTGTTAAAAACTTGTTTTGTAACATTAAGTCTATTATATAAAAAGAAATGTATAGTTTTTGTAAGTTCTTGTTTACTGTGTTCTGATTTTTTTTTTAAATAAAAGCAAATATGTACAGCAAGATTTGTATAATCCTAAAACAGCAGAATACATAAACTATATGTCTTAAATGAGCAATAGCTTTGATATAGATTGGATTCTGAAAAGAGTCCCCATAAAATTTCAATTTAAAATGTGAATGCAGTTTGTCATTTTTCTGTTTGATATTTTTTACTGGTTAACATTTGTTAACAATATAAAAATTATGACTTTCGAACATATGATGGGAATTAATGGAAATCAGTGACATTTCTTTTAATTTAATTGTCCATTCAGTACATGCGTATGTTATCTATATTATTTTTTTTTAGCTTTCATTGTCAAGTAAACAATGAACATAATAAATTAAATTTGATAAATTTGTTGTTGTTGTCGTTTTACTGTAAACACTATTAGTTTTTGAAAGAAAGAAAAACAGACATAATGGTTTTCTGCAATAATTGTAATTTATGTACCAAATGGGAAATAACCCTTATTTCCTTTTAAAAAATGTTGTATTACAGGAAAGAGTAATATTACAGATTTATGTAATATTACATTTTAATGTAATATTACAGTTTTCAGTAATTGCCTGGACTGTTTTTTCATGGGGACTCTTATCTATAAAATTGAGTTTATCCAAAGGAGAATTAATTTTTCTGGCTCTAGCAATTGCATTATAGTATGATCTGTACTTTAATATCTTCAAGTTAAAAAAAACACTTAAAAATGTGTTTGCTTTTTCATGTTTTAATCATCATCAACTTCAATACAACCTCTTTAAACACAAGTTGAAGAAAACCTTCTAATTTATAAGCATATGCCATAGTTGTCCGAAACCTCATATGTATACATTTAAACAGATCATATAAAAAGCAAATAAAGTATGACCCCCCCCCCCCCCCCCCCCTCTACAAATTCGATACTAACATGCTTTTGCCAACAACATGACTATTCAATCTGGCATCAGAACATAACATTATCCCAATACGAGTGTGACATTTTGTAACGTGTCGTCTTTAAAATTAATTCAGAACACTTTCAATTTTTGTTTCTGGAGATGTCCAATCCGACGCCGGGGATACACCACTAGTCACCATCAACTTCGTTGAGACGAACTAACGCAAAATCCTGATATAAATCAATTTATCAGATTTCAATTCAGTTTTTCTTCATGTGATCTCTGTAACGTGTTTGCTGAGTAAACCCTTTTCCACATCTTTCGCACGTGTATGGCTTGTCACCGATGTGTACTCTCTGGTGGATGGTAAGCTCATACTTAGTTAAAAACTTTTTATCACACACACCACAGCTATACGGTTTAATGCCCGTATGTGTTCACTTCAATCCACCAGAATCTGCATATCTCTTACCACACGTATCGCACCCATAGGGCCTTTCACCAGTGTGTGATCTCATGTGTCTTTGTAACTGAGCTTTGTCTCCGAAAGGGCCTATCACCATTGTGTGTCTTTTTAATGTGTCTTTGTAAATTACTTAAGACGGAAAACTTTTTGTCACATATATCACATTTGTATGGAGTTTCACCCGTATGTGTTCTCGTATGTATTGTTAAAGACCCATTTTCAGCAAAGCTTTTACCACATTTGGTACATTTATACGGTTTTTCACCTGTGTGTATTCTCATGTGACTTACAAAATTATTTTTTAATCTAAAACTTTTACCACAAGTTTCACAATCAAAAGCCTTATAATCTGGATGTCTGCCCACATGTTTAGTCAGGCGATTTTTATGAGTAAAACCTTTACCACATGTATCACAAGTATAGGGTTTCTCACCAGTATGTATTCTCATATGAGAAGTCAATTCTCCCGGAGAATTATATGTTTTATCGCACACATCGCAATTATGATTTTTATTGCCCGTATGAATTTTCAAGTGTGTGTTCAGGTTACTGCTTTGTCTAAACGCCTTACCACACACCATGTATTTGAAGGGCTTCTCGTCAGTATGGGTCCTCATATGAATTGTGAGACAATTATTCTTCCTGAATCTTTTACCACATATATCACATTCATGTGCACGTGGTTTATCATATAAACCAGTATGTGTTTCCATGTGTTCCTTCAAATTGATGGATATTTCACAACGATATTTTTTCTCAACACTATGAATTCTGTTGTGTTTTGTAAGATTTCCTTTATCTATTAAGTTTTTACCACATGTAGGACATCCGTGTGTTTTTTCCTCAGTATGTGTTTTCACGTGAATTGTTAAATTGTTTTTCATCTTAAAACATTTACCACATATTGAACAGCAATATTGGTTCTTGTCACTATGAATCTTCATATGTTTAATTAGGTCACCTGCACATCCACTACAACTATGTGGTCTAGTATGGAAAGCGGCAACCGGGGTCAAAATTCTTAATTCGTAAATTGTCAATTTGTAACTTGTAACTGTGAAATTTTCAAAATTCTTAATTCGTAAATGGTCAACTTGTTACTTGTAACTGTGAAATTTCAAAATTCTTAATTCGTTATATGTCAATTTGTAACTTGTATCTTTGTAATTTAAAATTCTTAATTAATTTCGTAAATTGTCAATTTGTAACTTGTAACTGTGCAATTTCAAAATTCTTTATTCGTAAATTGTCAATTTGTATATTGATGTTTTGTAACTTGAAACATGTCGATTCGTTAAATGTCATCGTTGTATTATGTTAACGATCATTATGACGACGGATGGCGCTCGGTTTCTTTTTCTGTATATAAGCCTCCTGTAAGTAGGAGCATCTCCGTATGGAGTATATACCCTTAGTAATTTAAATCAATTATGTACAGCACATACATATAAAAGAAAACAAACAGAAATTTTTTATTTTTATATGGCATGTATACAGGAACCAGGTTTTATTTTGTTTTCTGAAGACGACAGGGGGCGTTTCGTTCGAGAACGGAAACTATTTAAAAATACAGCCCGATTAATTCAGTACGTCCCTCCACGTATTAATAATCGATCTCTCCTACTTGCGAAGGTAATGAAGAAGTCATAGATATAACGACTGAATTATTCGGATAAAAAGATATAAGGAGATGTGGTAATAAACCGTATGATTGCCAATGAGACAACTATCCACCAAAGTCAAAGTTTAAATTAAGTCGATTTAAATAGGCAACGAACGCGGCCTTAAACAATGAGAAAACCCACACCATTTAGTCGGCTATAAGAGGCTACATCATTACTGGAAAACCCAGCCATTTTATTCTGACTGAGGGGGAAGGGCTGACAGATATATATATTAATGTACATGCCTACTGAACTTTTTTTGGTCAAAACGGGCTTAGGAATCCCCCCAACCCCAACCCCCGACCCACCCCTTCTTAGCCTGGCAACTCATTCTAATACTTCGTCGATCGGATCGTAAATTAACAGTTGATTCACGATGTTAATCAAAAACGTTTGTATTATATAAGATAACTTTTTCGAAATTTGCATTTCATATGAAATAAAAAATAATTTGCAATGAATTCGTAACAATATAAATATTTCCCGCCATTTGAGAAGAAAAAATGACGCTATCCCACGATGCATCATTCTAATATCCAATGGACGAAACCATGTTGTTGTATTCCACCTGGCAATACTGTCGAGCAGTGAGCCAGGATCACAGGCTACCACTCCTCACAGTTTGCCACCATTTTGCTCTCCAAAATGATCGGCCTGACAGACCCCCCCCCCCCCCCCAAAAAAAAAAACCCCAACCCCAAATCATGTGCAAAGATTTTCATGGAGAAATAAAATGATTGCGAACAGCTTGGTTTCTGTGGGGTCTTCTCACAGTAGAAGTACTTTTGGAGACAGATTAAAATAAGCAATGTTGCTTGTTTCTGGATCCCATTGTTTATACAGTATTATATTATATAGCATGATTTGACTTATCGAATAAAATATTGTTTAAACGAAGTACTTTTCAAAAAATAATTCTCGCCGGCAGGAATTCTTTTAACACCATTGTTGGCGCCTCTCCTGTCCGAAAAAGTTTTACATAGAATTAGAAGACATAACATCTAACTGATTGCTGATATTTTGCTCTCTAAAATGAGCTGTCATAATATTATATGAAGATTTTCATGTAGAAATAAAATTAGGGTAAGCAGATTGGCCGCAAGAATTGCTTCTGTCATGCAAATGGCGAGATGGCGAAATATTCTCTCTGACCAGTTAAAGGGGTAGGGTACGTGTCACTTTGGTTAAAAGTGGGTATAGGTGTGTAATAAAAAAGAAATAGTTTCATAGTTTTACGATTATGGTCATTGGCAAAATATCCAGAGGGGACACCACCAGGAAATCACACCATTATACTCCTGGTATATGTCATGTCTCGTCGATCCAGTAATCATTCTAGATCTGTATCTGTATCTGTAGGAATACCTTGTGTATACCAATACTGGATTTAATACAAAAGTAGAGATTGCGCCGTCGATTTATTGACTGTTCACGAGAGCAGTTTCTGTGCGCACTACAGTGTCTTCAAGGTGGTTCCACTCGATTACTGTTTTTACGAAAAATGAGTTATAGTATTGCGGTATTTTTCTGGTTGGTTTAAACAATCAGTACAAATTTGAAATAGAGAGGCTTAATAAAGAAAACCAATCGCTGCGTGATGGCATGGATGCGTTAGAACAATACAGTCGACGGGACTTAATTCGTATCAACGGCATTCCTGACGGTGGTATAGATGAATCTTCCATTCAAACAAACGAGTTAGTCAAAGATCTTATCAAAACCATCGATGAACAACTAACACCCGAAGACATCATTCGATCTCATAGAATTGGTAAACCACGCACAAGGGAAGGCAATGAAGACGGCCGAGTTAACAACAAGTTTCAGCCTCCTAGACAAATAATTGTCAAGATTAAGGATCATAATGTTAAAAAGAGGATCCTCAGATGCAGAAAATTCTTAAAAGGGAAAATAGAATACAAGTACGTCAGAATGAATGAGGACCTGACCAAGCCGAGAAACGCCATTGCATACAAAGCCAGACAGCTCAGCATTGAGCATCATCTAAGAGACACGTGGACAGTTGATGGGAAAATTTATGTAAAGGACAATCAAATGCAAGTCCATGTTGTCAACACAATGCCAGCGTTCCTACGTTTTGTATCGATATACTGCTGTCCTGGTTCCATGGACTTCCTTGATAGGCTAGAATACAACAACAAACAAAACAGACGCGAGTACACACCACCACAACTCATAACATATGCGGAAGCACGAGCGAAGGAATTAGCAGAGAGAGCATCTTCAAATGCATCAGCTGAAAACACGAGTGTCCAAATTTCATGATTTAACTTTGAATAAAACTGCATATATTGACAACATTTTTTTTTTGTGTACGTATTTCTACATGTATTCAGACTATTTGACAGTCCTGTTTCAGAATTTTTTGCTTTTTTTTGTATTGTTTATTTATTTGTTTATTTTTCTATAATTACATGCTACACAATTCTTGTACATAATACATCTAATTTGTAATTCATCCAAATTCCTGTTAATTACACGGGAATACTTACCTTGATCGCTGATTTGTCACGTGACAAATTTTAACGTATTGAAGTTCACAACACAAACTCTCATAGTAAAATAAATTACTCATGCGTGAAAAAGGTAAAACTATAACGGTTGTTTTTACATGATGTTAAAATCCATGGTAAGGAAATTTTCATGGCTAACTTCAAGCTCCTAAAACAACTTTAAAAAAGAAGATATTACTTTCAATTTGTAAATTTTATCGTATACAAGCAATCTTTAAACAAAACGTACAGCGATTTGTACTGTTTAAAACGTGCATGCTTACTATAAATGGTAAATTGTATGGACAGATCTTGTCAATTCAGCGATCAAATAATCAATCAGGCAATATTAAATCGAGTTGATTTGACACGGCTGGTATTAACAGTTGTACTGAATTACTACGTAGATAAAGTTGTATCATTTATACATGTGTATACTCATTCCTCCAAACTACTTGTTCAATCCATGTACATGTGCATACTTTTTCTTTTGCTTCATGCATATAACATATTGTTATTCAATTTTTGTTCTCACAATTTTTTCTTATTTTTTACTTACACTTTTTTCACAAAACAAACGAAATGCTATGGATTATTTAACTTTGTATACGGCCGCTCTCAGTTTGACCAATTTCAGCCAGATGTAACATAACTCATGGGGGTAGGAATCGAGTTATATCGTATGAGAGTTGGCCAATACTCACCAGGCAAAAACATCAAACAAAGACTAAATTATATTGATTTTATCTGTATCAACTTATTTCTCGCTTGTAAAAGTGTCTCGCAGGCACTGGTGTTATCAATTTTAATCTTCACGTTGTCGCATCAACTAGGCGTGTGCCCTAAACCTTCAGAGATGAAACATGTAGACTCAAATGTACAAAAAACAACAAGTGTAAATGTGAATCTTAGACTATTTATTATTTCATTTTTACTATTTGTTATACAAATTTTGCTAATCCTAGCAGGAATAGAGGTAAATCCAGGTCCAAGTGACGATATCGATTCTTCTCAAAGTTCAATTAACTCAACTGACATGTCGGATTTCAGTGAACTTTTCTCAAAATCAGTCTCAATTCTTCACTTAAATGTACAAAGCCTAGCCCCGAAAATAGATCTGATTCAAGCTGAATATTCTGATTTCGACATTTTAGCGTTTAGTGAAACCTGGTTAAACAATAATCATACAGACGAATCAATTGAAATCCTAAATTACCAGCACCCCTTCCGTCGTGACAGAGGTCAACACAAGGTTGGAGGGGGGATAATTGTTTATGTAAAAAATAATATACATGTTCAACGTCGAAGTGACCTCGAAAGCGAAAGTTTGGAAGCAATATGGTTAGAACTTAAAAGATAAAAAGGCTTTGCTCGGAACCTTTTATATACCTCCTAATAGTGGATCAGATATCTGGGAAAAAATTGAATATTGAGTTATTCTCTTGATATGGCGTCTAATGATAATACTATTAATTACATAATGGCCACTGGTGATTTTAACGATAACCAACTAGCCCCTGTTAATTCAAAAATTACACCTTTGTTAAGCCAATTTAGTCTTACTCAAATGATAGACGAACCTACTCATTTTACTGAATCGTCGTCATCATTGTTAGACCTTTTTATAACAAACGATGCTCACATAATAACATACTGTGGAGTCGGACCACCTTTATTAGACCAAATACGTTTTCACTGTCCTATTATTAGTCTTTTGAACTTTCCAAAATGTCGTCAAAAAACTTTTAAGCGAAAAATTTGGCTATATGATCGAGGAGATTATGACAGATATCGTAACATTTTATCTGAAAAAAATTG